GGCGGCCGGCGCCTTCTAAGAGGCAGCCTCTCTCCAATTGGTTGTCCCCCCTCCGTCTGCCCCCTTGCGCGCGTCGCCGAAGGAAAGTCTCAAACATGTGTAACGAAATCTACGGCGGGAGCGCCGTGCGTGAATGAAGAAACGGGGAGCGGGAGTTTCGAGCCAGAGTTTGGCGAGGAGTGGAGAGTCAGGAGGGGAAAAACACACAGGGACAATTAATCGTCTACTCCCAGGAAGATGTGGGAACATATGGGAGTTGGGCAGGAAGACAAACATCCAGAACATGAATGAAAATATGGGAAATCCTTTTACTTAATTGAACGCCCTTGAGGGGCAGACACCGCCGCCCCACTTTGTTTTTTGGAACGCGGAGGTTGCGTGGGGGGCAAATCGGGATGTAGCGGGGGTGGGAGAACGTGGGGTCTTAAAGGCTCTCAGAAAGCCCCAAGGGAGCCGGAACATGACCCAACAAAGCGCCAGAAAACGTCAAGAGAGTCTGAACATAATTTTAAAGGGATGCCTGAGGGTGTGCAAAAGTGTGGACGAAAGGAAGAGGCATACTTACGGAGATGCGTACAAACGAGATCCCAGTTAGTTTGGGGGCCTCAAAAGGGACTCCGGGGACCCCCTGGGCGCGCCCAGGACGGCCCAAGAAAACCCCAAAAATGCTGCCAGACGACCCGGGCCGGGGTCGGGAGGCGTGGAGGACAGCCGCAGAGAGCGCCCGCTGATTCCAACGTGCTTCCAAGAGCCCGCGAAGACGCACGTGAGCTCGAAAACGAAGCAATAATAGAGGCTCGACAAGGCCAGAATGGACATACTCATATGTGTTTTACGAGGTTTTGTGCGTGCTGTTTTTTTGTGGTCGAAGTGGGCCGAGGAGAGGTGGGCGGGCTGCCAGACTGGACCAAAACGACCTGGAGGACGGCCAAGATCGCCCCAGGAGGGCGTCTGGAGGCTTCCAAAATCGAGTCAGTGAGCTCCCGGAGAGGCCTCTGAGAGAGGCCGGCGGCGCCTTGAAGACGAACGTTCCCAACGAGGGGTGTTCTGAAGCGAAAATGATGGCCAAAGAGCGCTCATTCCGCAGCGATGGCCCCCGGGCCGGCGGAATGAGCAGGCCGCGGGGGGGACCCCAGGAGGGGTTGCAAGGGCTCTGAGGAATGGGTATTGGCACGGGGAGTTCGTGCGCGCGCAGATCGAGGGGACTGAGTTCGCGCAGACCATGCGGCGGGGATCTCGCGCGCCGTTCCCGGTGGGGCGGCTAATCGCTTCGCTCATTCCGCCGGCGCTGGAGCGCTATTTGGGGCCTCCTGGGGCCGTCTTGGGGGCCTCTTGGGGGCTTTTTGGGAGCCATTTGGGGCTCCTTGGCGGCGTCTTGGGCTCCCCTGGGGCCTCTTATGGGGGCTCTTGGAGGCCCCTTGGGGCGGGAGGGGGGGTAGTCGATTGCAGCCACCCCCATCGGAGGCCGCGATCCTCGCGAGGGGTGGCGGCAAATAGCCTCCCCCCTGGGGATCGCCCGGGGCCCGGCCCGGGATCGGCCGGGGCATTTTTCGCCCAGGGGCCCCCTGGGGCCGCCCCGCGCTCGCGAACTAGAAATGTTGTTAAGTAGTTACCAGAGATCTAAGCGCGCCTGTGGCCCGTCGGGCCGGCGAACTTGCGCGCGTGTGTTTGCGTGTGGCAGGGCCCCTTCAAACATGCAGGACGGAGGCCGGGGAGGAGGGGGTATGGAAGAGGGAGGGATAATGGGAGCATGGGAGAGGGGAGGACAACTTAGGTGCGCTTGCGCCATATCTGACATCTCATCCCTCCCTCCCATTCCTTCCCATTGCGGTCATAGCCGGCCTGGAACTCCACAAAAGACCCCATCGTGTTATGTTTAGTCGGGGAAAGGAAACTTGCGGCTTCCATGGCCTGTGGCGCCTGCGAGACTTGCGGTACCTGTGGTTTCTGTGAAACTTGTGGGTTTTGTGGGGCATGTGAGACCCGCGACACTTTTGGCACCTGTGGCACTGGCAAGACTTGTGGGACCTTGGGGACATCTGTGCGACCTGTGAGACACGCGAAACTTCTGTGGCCTGTAGGGCCTGCGAGACCTGTCGGACCTGTGGCACCTGTGAGGCATGCGAGACACTGGGACGTGTGGAGCCTGTCAGACCTGTGGGACGACCTGTGGGACCTGTGGGGCCTGCGAGACGTGCGAGACCTGTGGGACCTGCCAGGCCTGTGTGATCCAGAACAGAGGCCACGCTGGGGCGGGTGCGCCATTCTGAACGACTGGGGCACAGCGCCGATATGAAAATGAGGCCCACGCAGCAGCGAGAGCACCATTCTTGAAACACTGAAAAAACAATGGATTGTAACATACCTGAAAGATCAGCCGTTTCATGCGTGAAAAAATGATGCGGAGGGGGCCAGAGGATCTTCTGGACAGGGCCAGGGGAGAGAGAGGAGAGTTGTACTCTTACCTAAAAAGGTTTACGCCATTCCGCCGACCCCCACAAGAGTGAATTTGGCAAGAGTCGTGCCACCGTGCCTGGCATGTGTATCAAGGGCCTCGGGGATGCATACGAGGGTATATGAGGCTATCCTGTAGTGCCTCTCGGCGGTGGTCTCTTGGAGGGCTCTTGGGGGCATCTGATTGGCCTTTCGGAGGCCTCTTGGGAGCCTCTTGGAAGTGTCTCGGGGCCTCTTGGGGGCGTCTCCTGGGTCACCAGGGAGCTCTTGGGGCCATCACGGCGGACAAGACTCGATATGTCAGTTCGTATTGCCCGTCTTGGGGCCATCCTGGGCCGTCTTCGGAGCCCTTGGGGCCCTCTTGGGGCTCTATTAGGCCCTCGTTGGGCACTCTTGGGGGCCTCATGGCCGTCTTGTGACGATCTTTGGGGCTCCTCCTGCTGTAGTGGACGTTGTCAAGACGGAAAAGGCGTGCATGTCGAAAACGCACGTGTTCTTAAGGGGATGGGGCGTTTTTGTTGCTTTTGGGGCCCTCTCGACGCCCCTCTGGGAACACTCTTGGGCCGGCTTGGGGGCCTTGTAGGCAGTCTTCAGACCATCTTGGACCGTCGCGGGGTCTAGGCCGTCTTGACCTCTTGGATTGTCTCAGCGCTCATTGGGCCGTCTTGGGGCAGCTCTGGAGCTACCCTGGGTGCGTTGGCGAACTCGTGCACACCCCCTGTTCCCCGCCGCCCCCCCCCCCTTCTAATTCCCCAATCAGAGCTTGCCTCTGTAAGGGTCCTAGCGGATTCATATGATATGTGAGGTGTGCAGCCGATTTCGGTGGCGGGCCTGGGTGCCCCGGTGCCCCGGTGCCCGGGTGACTGGGTGCCCAGGGGTGCCCGGTTGCCCGGGTGCCCAGGTGCTCGGGTGCCCGGTTGCCCGGTTGCCCTAATGCCCTATAGCCCTATAGCGCTATAGCCTTATAGCCCTATAGCCCTATAGCCCAAGAGCCCTATAGCCCTAAATGTTCTATACCCCATATAGCCCTATAGCCCTATTGCCCTTTTCCCTAATAGCCCTTTTGCCATATAGCGCTTCTGCCCACTTGCCCTATAGCCTCTTGTCCTAAATCCCTACAGCCTTAAAACTCTAAAGCCTTTTTTGCCTAATAGCCCTATAGCCCCATAGCCTTATAGCCCTGTAGCCCAAGAGCCCTACAGCCTCAATAGCCCTATACCCCATAGAGCCTTATAGCCCTATCGCCGTATAGCCTTGTATCCCAATAGCCCTTTAGCCCTTTAGCCCTACAACAAATCTGATTGGGTCTTTTCTCCGGTGTCATGCAATATTTGGCCCCACGGGAAGGGGAACGGGTAAATAGCCGGCGCCGAGGCGAGGACCGCATCTTTGGGGCATTCGCAAGCAAATCTCCGGCAAGAAGGTCGTTCTTTGTAAAAGGTTGAGGCTATCTCCAGCGAGAGGAGTTATAGGAGGTTGAGGAGGCGATTCAGTATGACGGCGAGGGGGGAGGAGAACCAAGAGGAATAATATTCTTAGAACCATGGCTAGGAGAGGGAGAAGAAGGATAGGTAGTGAAACTAATCGAGTATATGTGGAGGAGGAGTAACGGGAGGAGGAGAGAAGGAGGAGGAGGAGGAGGAAAAAGAGAGGGATACGTAGGAGAGGGAGGAGGAGGAGGCGGTGTGGCGCGGAGGTTTTGTGGAGGATGGCGACGACAACAATGGCGACGAATGCGACGACGACAACGGCAATGATGACGACGAGGGTGTAATTCAGCCAATCAGGAACAGACGATGATTCGGAGGACGTGCAAGCAGTATTTGGAGCCACCTTGGCTCTGAACACACTGTTACAGGATACTGGGCTCTGGCCGTGGTGTTTAAGACGTAATGAAAATGCTTCAGGCCTATTGGACAGCTATGGTCTTTGGGGCGCTGGTTCTACTGAGCTCTGCCGAAGCGGCTTGGTAGATGAACATTGGGTCCGTCGGAGCTGGTCTTGGGGCCATCTTCAAGCGCTCTTGGGACGGTCCGACCATCTCGGTTGGTTCCCGGGCAGTCTTAGGTTGTCTTCTTGTCATTTTGGCGGTTGGTGCCCTCTGGGGCGTCTTTTGGCCATCAGGAGCCTCATCCGGGCCATCTTGGCAGGACAGTTTACGGGGAGCTTTTCCGGGGCTGCATATGGCCTCTTAGGAGCATGTCGGAACATTTGGCGTGCCGCTGAGCCGCCTTAGTTAGGCTGGTCGTTCGACATTTGGCAGCCGTCTCGGGGCAGTTTTCGGTCCGTCTCGAGGCCGAAAAGAGGGCAGCCAAATAAAGGAGACACTTGTTTGAAATTGCTTACGTCGAGGCCGAGGGTGGGGCTGGGACGCCAGACGTAGGGGGGGGACACCTGTCTGAAGGCGCTTAAGTCAAGTGCGGGTTACATCCTACCAGACAGCGAACGGCCACCCTTACGCACCCCAACGTGCCCGGGTCACGGTGGCGGATATCGTCAAAATTGGTTTTCATTGCGATTCTTGGGAGCGTCTCGGCGGGAAAGACATGGGCCTCGGCGGAGTCGACAAGGGTGGCAGTCCCACGTGGATAATCGACTGGACCATCTTTTACTGGGGCTGGTGGATCTCCTGGGGACCTTTCGTCGGCACTTTTATTGCGAGGATCTCCAAGGGCAGGACTCTTCGTGTGTTCATTATGTCCACGCTCATCGTGCCCACCCTCTATAGCATCGTCTGGTTCTGCGTGTGGGGCACCGAGGGCATCCGCATGCAGCGCATGGCAGACACGAGCGGCCTCTGCAATCAATCCGACGCGGGCAACGGGGACTGGGCTGCACAGTACAATCTGGAGACGAAGACGAACTTGAGCATGGGCTGGACCCCCGCATGCGTGCTGGACGACGCCTACCACGGCGGCTATGGCAGGTGCAAGAGGGTGAAGTTCACCAGCTATGTGGACCCGTCTATCGACGGCAACGGCAAGACGTGCGTCAAGACCACCAATTGGGTAACCGTTCCTTGCGGCGGCGCTGACGATCCCACCTTTGTCAATACAACGTACGGTGTTCTCATTGGCACTGAGTGCGCAAACTACATGAGCGAGATAGAAGAATTAGCCGCTGAGAACTATTCAAGGCGATTCGCGTTCACCGCCCGCCACATTATTTCTCGGGGGGCGAGCCAGCCGAAGAGAGACTAGGTTTTATAGAGGCCATAGAATAGCCGATTCTAGCAATCATATGGTTTCGAGGAAGCCAGGTTTGACCATCTAGTCAAGCAGTGGCGAAACCTTCTGGCTCGCCTATAGGCCCACCGAAGAATGTTCGAACAATCTTTTGTGGTATGCAAGAATTGTTGTTATAGCATGTATGAGGACATATCTGGGTTCTAAGAATATGCCGTGATAGGCATTTATGAATGCCAGGACGGTCGGTCCCTGCTCAATCTAGTCCCTTTGGAAGTGTTCGTGGGCCAGGTGGCCTGAGTCGTAAGGGTCTTGGGGGAAAGAGGAGGTTCTGTGGAGCTCGAAGCCCCCCGTCCCAGTCAACTTTCCTTCGGATGATATCTTGACCCTCGGGACTGGGACATGGCAGGGAGGCAGCTGCACATACACGGCTTCTAAAATCCATGTCACGCGGGGGTTACCATATTCCCGTAGGTTATCGTATGCAGCAAGAGTTGCGACGAATTTGTTTCCACAGAGACGGTGTCGCAGTAATAATGATGGCCAAGATGATGTCTTTGTGCCCGTCTTGGAGCTCTCTTGGGCCTTTTAGTGGTCCTTACGGGGCATTTGGGAGCCATCCATAATTGTCTGCCTTTTGGTGACTTCATGGGGGACCGCTTGAAGCCATCTTGCGGTGTCTTGGGATCGTCTCTGTCCGCCTGGAGGCAGTCTTGGGCCGTCTCGGGGTCAGCGAGTACTCTGGTTTGGTTCTGGCCACGTCCGACATTGCATTGAAACTTGTCTGGGATTTGGGCCAGTGTGTGTCGTGTTGGGCTCAAGTTGGGTTCAGAATCGTCCAGCATGCATCCAGGAGCGCTTCCCAAGACGGCGTGGAAATTTTGCTATGAAAGGTGTCTGTGCGATCGTGTGAGGGTTAACTCTTCAACATCCTGTGGGCTTTGCCGTATTGTGAATTTCCTGTTTGAGGGCGAAGGTGGGCCCGAGAAGCGTTCTTGATGGGCCCAGGAGTCGATTTGGCCGAAGGGACATGGAGCAATAAGTGCGACCCGAAAGCGTAGTGGGAACGGTGTGAAATTCAAGCTCGTCCTGAACGCCGTCTAGAAGCCGTCTTGGGGCCGGAGAATGGTGTGGGCCGTAGCTGGGCGGCGGAGGGACGGGAGCCATTGGGGGGATGAGAGGCGGGGTTGAAGCCCTGTAAGGAACTCTCACACGTAAGTCTCACACGCCCCTCAGCCTGGCGGGCGGGCGGATTCAAGTGGCTTGCGCCATTCCGCCCACCCCCAGATAAAGTGAGGAGCCCGTGGAAGTTGCCAGGACGAGGTAGGGGATTGAATGTACTGACTGACGCAGCAGGGATTATTGGATGGGCTTTGTGTTGGGCCTCTGCGAGGCTTCAGGGGTTAGGCATCTCAGGGAGCTTTTGGAGCCTCCCTGGGTCGTCCTGGGGTTTTCTTGGAGGCGTCCTGGGGGCATGTTGGAGATCGTCGCGCCCATCATGTGGGAGAAGGCTCCTGGACGCCCTTCGAGTCCCCACTTTGGATCCCTCTTGGGGCTCTGCTGGAGCCTTCGTGGGCCGTCTTTGGCGCTTCTTGGGCTGGTTTGGAGCCCTATTGGGACTCTTGGGTTGTCTTGGGACCCTCTTGGGGGCCTCGTGGGCTGTCTCGGAGTGATGTCGGAGGTTGTTTGGACAATCTTGGACGTACTTAGGATGAACAAAACGTGAATCTGCAACACATGAACGTTTCTGGATGGATTTGGAAGATGTTTGCCTCTTGGGGCTTTCTTCGGCGTCCTCTTGAATCCCGTCTTTGGGGCGTCTTGGAGACACTTTGGGCTATCTTGAAGCCATATTGAGTGCTTTGGCTGCCACATCTAGGCGTGATGGTGTCCTTTTTGAGCCGTCTTAGAGAAGCATCTTGAGCATATTGGAGGCGACGGAGGTTGATTTTGGAAGTTCTGGAGGCCCCAGGGGTGCGTTGAGGAACTCGTCACCCGCCCTCACCCTCACCAACCCACCCGCAATCTCGATGGTGTTTTTTTGGGGAGGGAAAGGAGGGAGGGGGACAACCGACCATCTCACACGCCGAGGTACCCCCAGCAAGCGGGCGTCCGCGGATTCCAGCGGCTTGCGCCATTCCGCCGTGCCACAGAAGAGGAGATGTGCGGCTTCCGGTTTCGTATGGATTGTTTGCCGTTCCCCGTCCTGATATTGGCGTGTAGTTGTTTCGGGGCCCTAATGAGGAGGCCTCGGGGCGACCTCCTGGGTGCCTTTTCGAGTCTCCTGGAGGCTGCCTGGGGCCCTGCGAAGGATTCGTAGGAGTCTTTTGGGGCATTTTCAGGGCGTCTTGAGGACCACCTTGTGGTCTGGCCCCCCATGAGGTCCACCTCTTGGTCCTGTCCAGACCTTCTCGGGGGACTCTGGAGGGCCCTTCTTGGCCGCCTTTATGTATCTTGGGCAGTCTTGGGACCGTCTTGGGCCATCTTCAGGACCGGTTGGGGGCCTGTTCGGTTGTGGGCCAGTTTGCGGTCCCGAACTCCGCAATTGCGAGAATGCGAAAATCATTCGATCACCAATGGAGCATCAATGTGCTTGGCCTCTTGATGCCGTCGCGTGGGTCCGCCTGGGGTCTCTACGGGCGTCTTCCAGGCCCACAGAGCCGTCCCAAGGCAATCCGGGAGATGTTCTGGCGGCCTCTCTGGCGCGTGGGAGCCTTTTTTGAGCCATCGTACGGGGGGGCATCTTCTGCACCTTGCGAAGGCGTTGTTGATGGACTTGGAGGCTCCGAGGGCCTAAGAGTCGGGTATAGCCCGGACCCCGAAGTGGCCAGAACCAGTAGCCCAGGTCTGCCGTAGCTGGTGCTTTTTCGGGTGACGGCAGTTCCGGGCAGTGGAAGGGGGCGGGGGGGGCGTCTCCCACTACACATCTTAAACCAGGTTCCACTACACCCAGTTCTGTCAATGCCCGAAAGAGGATCCTTGACGAGCTCGTGCCCCCCCCCTCAACTGAGATGTTGGACCCCAGGGGAAGGGGGACGGCCAAATTCAGGCGGTCGCAAACATGGATTCAAGGGGCTTGGATTAGCGACGGGGCCCGTTTCCACGGGAAATCGCGGATTCCCGCCGCCATGCGAGGCGGCACCGGCCGCATTTTGGGGATGGCACCTCCCTCGATCCAATGGATTTGGCGACCGCGCGCCAAATCCATGGATCGCTAATCCATGTTTGCGCGCCCCCGACAAATGTTTCACACGCCTTCTCAATCCCGGCCAGCGGGGGTCGGCGGACAACAAGTTCCCCGCCGCCGAGCAGCACGATTGCTTCGTCCCCCTCCAGGACGGCACCGTGTGCTTGTCCAACAGGGCCACGGCGGACATTCTCTTCGATCAGATCTCCAGCTACGCCCCGCGGGGCTACTCCGACATGTTGTGCACGCTTACGCTCATCATTTTGACATTCTACTTCGTAACCTCGTCGGATTCCGGCTCTTTCGTGGTGGATATGTTGGCCTCCAACGGTCACCCAGACCCGCCGATGTTCCAGCGGGTCTTTTGGTCCTTCACGGAAGGCGCGACGGCCATCGCTCTGTTGTATTCGGGCATCAACCACCCGAACGCAGACGCCTCGCTTCGTGCCCTGCAGGCTGCGTCCATCATCGCAGGCCTGCCCTACACGTTTGTCATGTTCTGGGCCACGCAGTCGCTCGTCATTCTGGTCCGGGAGGAGAGCGGAGCGCTCGACCCCAACCGGAAGGCTTTCACGACGTTCATCTTCAACATGGAGTACAGCGTGAACCATCTCAAGCACACGGCCGTACCTGGCGTGCAAATGGCCAAAACCGTAGTCGAGGTCGGCAAGTGGCCTTTCAGCGGCGCTGGCGACGGCCCCACTTTTGTGATCTGGTGTGTCTTCTTCTCCGTGCTTTACTACGCCAGCATTATCATCACCATCTGCGCCGTGGCCATGTACCAATGGGCGCTCATCGGTTGCGCACTGTACATCGGATTCGGCACCTTTGTGGGCCTGCTCCGTAATCATGTGCGCGTGACTCGGTTTATCAAGAACGGCGACCTTCCCACTGATTTGATGTGCGGCCTCTTAGCGCCCATGTTCACCCTAACCCAGATCGAGGTTGAGTTGCAGGATGGACCCCTCGAGAAGAAGGACGACGACCCCGCTGATGATAACAAGCGGGTCTGACCCTCATGGCGGACGAGACGGCGCCGGCCCGTTCGTGCGCACATCTGGAATGATTTGAAACCAACGAATGCACTAATATTCTCAACGATGATGATGATGCTTCTGTACAGGTCAAAACCTCGGTCTTTCGATGGTTTCGAAGATGCCTACGGCGAGCCACCGCCGCTTGTTGCCGTTTGGAAATTCCATGCGGCCAAACGTTGGGCCGACGTCTGGCCAGGCTATCGGACTATGTGCTCCCCCGGTCGTTGTGGAACCCCTCGGGGGAACATTTGGGAGGGGAAGAGGAGGAGGACGAGAAGGAGGAGGAGGAGGAAAACGATGCCTCTGGAGGCCTCAAGGGCCTCTCGTCAGACCTCTTGGGGGCCATTTAGGGGCTCATTGTGGTCCTCTGTGGACCTGACCATGAAGGAACCTCTTGGCCTTCTGCGGCCAACTTTGGGGGCTCCCTGCGCAGTCGTGGGTCTCTCTTTGGGCGCGTCAAGGCCGTCTTTGCAGGTCTCTGCGCCGTCTTGGGACCGTCTTGGGGGCTTCTTGGGCTGTATTGGAACGTTTTTGGTGGCCGATGGGGCCGTTTTTCAAACTGGAAGCCCAACATGGCGAGAACGTTACAACATTGAAGAGCCTACGGACCATTAATGATTCCCCACATGTTTCGTGGGGTTCTGGTTTTCTTCCCTGCCGCGGCGCACCCGCGTCTACTCACACCTCCCCTCCTCCCTCTTCTTCCTCTCCTCACCCGCACTCAACACATGCACGGCAAGTACATGACACACGCGTCTACATACAGCCGCACGCATGCACACATTCGCACACAACACACACCATACAACGCTAGTGCGCGCCTGGCGTGTTCACTGCATCACACATCCACGACGTGTGCGCCACATAGTGGGCACCCACATGAGACACGTCCCGATATGGACGCTATGCACGACGGTCGTCCAGGCATAGCAGGCGTGGCACTTCCTCGACACCAGAGGGGGTGCGCTGGGGGTGGGGGCCCTATCCGTTTCGGGCTCGCAATGCGTGGCAGGCGTGGCACTGCCTCGACACCAGAGGGGGTGCGCTGGGGGTGGGGGCCCTATGCGTTTCGGGCTCGCAAAGCGTGGCAGGCGTGGCACTTTCTCGACGCCACAGAGGGGGTACGCTGAGGGTGGGGGCCCTATTGTAACCGACTTCCAGAATTTGATCGATAGGTTTAGCGTTTGTAGTTCATTCTTGCAGACCTGTAAGGCAGGTCACATTAGTTTCGTGACACTGTTACCATTTTGGCTCAAGGCCTAAAACATTCATCCAATCCTTTGCTGCCACAGTTGGTAGCGGAGCGAGGTGTCGCTCGGGTGCCATGGGTGCTGGCCGGACGCGCTGCTAGGCGCGGCCTTGCCGGTGCTCGCGAGCCCTGGGCGTGCGCCTCGCTCGGCCAACGCGACGCGTGTGGATCCACGGTGGGTGTGATGGCAGTTGACGAGGATAAGGACACAGGTGCTGCGCTGCACGTCGAGGCGCCGGGGCAGGCCGAGAACGCGGTGGTGACGAGGGGTGAGCTGAACAGAATCATCGGTGACATCGTCAGGGAGGCGATGCAGGGGAGAGATTCTTCGGGCTCCACCTCCGCGGCCGCGGCCAGCTCTGGCGGCGCCGAGCGCAATGAGCGCAACGAGAAGAAGGATGATCCGTGGAAGGACGGCGCCACCGAGGGCTCCGGCGGCTGGCGAGACCAGTCGGGCTGGGGCGGCGACGGGCAGAAGGGCACCTGGCAGGACTGGACAAGCAAGTCCGGCAGCTGGCGGGATTGGTAGGCCGAGGCCGACCGACCGCAAGAGTCAGACCAGTGGGGCCGTAGTCGTGACGGCCGGAATGCTGAGTCCTGGTCCGGTGGCTGGGGAAGCAGCGGCTGGCCAAAGGGAGACTACAGCGATCCCCCGGCATGGCCGGGGTGGACCCACTGCAGACCCTGGAAGAAAGCACTGCGACGCTGGAGCGTCAACACAGATGTTCCGGTGTGGCGGCGTGCTGAGAAATGTCTCAAGCTTTTCGACTGGGCGTTCCAGATGAAGTTCGACGACGTGCCCGAGTCCAAGATGGCCGAGGACGGCTGGATCGACCTGGTGCTCGGGCGCATGGACACCATGGCCGGTGAAAGAGAAGGAGACGACCTGCGCAGGGCTGGTCGCAAGGCCTTCTTCGAGGCCAGACGTGAACAGCGAGAATCTCTGGTGCAGTTCGTCACCAGGCGTGAGGCGCAGCTCCTGGAGGCCGAAGGCCATGACCTTAGGATGTCCCCAAAACTCAAGGGCCTGCTGCTGGAGGAGGGCGCAGGCCTCACCTCGCAGGGCCTCCAGAATCTCAGGACCCTCACCCTCGGCAGGCTAGACTACGAGAGTGTGGCATGGGCTCTGAAGCAGATGGACGCCGGCGGATCAGAGAGGCTCCTGCCCGGACGACCGGGTGCAGGAGCCATGATGGTCGGTGAGGGCGTAGGGGCTAGCAGTGCGGCAGGTGCTTTTCAGTCCTCCTCTTCCTCTCCTCCTCCCTGGTCGGGTGACGGTGGTGCCGAGGACCAGGGTGCCGAGGACGACGACACCTTCTACGACGAAGAGGACCAGGAGCCGGAGGAAGATGACGAGGAGGATATCGAGGCACTGCTCGCCGAGATCGAGGACCTCGACATCTCCGAGGATCAAGTGGACGAAGTTCTAGCCACTCTCGAGGCTAAGAACACACGCACATGGAAGAAAAATAAGGACCTCAAGAGAACGGTGAAGCAGGACCGCGAGTACTTTCGTCCTGGAGCTCAGGGGACCCGTCCTCCTCCTCGTGCTCACCCAGCGGGGCGTTCCGCTCGAGGCGGCCGCGGAGGCGGCCGCGGTGCAGGTCGAGACGGTCGCGGTGCTGGCCGACAGAGACTGTCCCGCGACCAGTTGATCAACCCAGAGGTCTCAAACAGCTTAAAAATAGCCGGCAAGTACGAACAGCTTTTTTTTAGCTGTAGTATAATATCGTTTAGCTGCGGGTTTGGGTGCGCTGATGAAACTGCAAGATAAACGCAGCGCAGGCGTTGTTTTGCGCGCGCGCGGCGTGCACCGCGCCACTTTTCAGCCGCCCAATATGCAACATCGATTATAACTACGAAGGGACATGCAATGATGACTGGAAGATTTAATGACGAACGTACATTAATCTTAGTTTAGCCAGCGTAAGCAAGATATGGTGCGACGTTCCCCGCAATCGTGCAACATGGCATATCACCCGTCGTTATATGGATATGCCATTACGTAATACGTTTAAAGATACGTTACAAAGTAAGCACATCTTCGGCGGTGCGGTGGGCCCGAGCACGCGCAACACGTTGCCATGGTAAATAATCAACGCACTGATACATGCCATACCGCACGCTTACGTTACATTGACAACCACATGCGTTGACGCGATGGGGGGGGGCGAAGTTGGGGAAGGCGTAGAGGAGGCGTCGATAAGACGGGCCAGGAGGCACTGATAATGATAAGATTGACGAAGACAAGGGGGGAAGGGAACGTGGCGGGAGGAGGAAACTCCCTCGTCATAGCATCCCGTTCTCCGCCATTTAACCTCCCCGTTTGCTTCGTTCGCGCAATCCTGCGTTCTGTCCCCATCATTATCATCCGCGTCGCCCTCCCGCCATGGCGTATTCTTTTCTTCGCATCGTCCCTGCCATCTGCGTCCCCCTGTTGATCTGTTTAGTTTCATCGTTCTCCTCGCCTTGTTGTCGCCCAGCTCCCTTCCTTCCGACGATGCCGCGACCTCCCGATCATGTAGTCATTCTCTATTCTTCACCGTTCCGCCCGCTCGTCCCTTGTCCGTTATTGCTTCAGTGTTCGGCCGCGAATGCGGCGTACATGCGGTGTTCAGCTGTGCCTAGGCCCCGTATGGGGCGAAAAGGTCTGGCAACGCTGCGTCGTCATCCGACTATGGTTCGTCAGGTTCGGTCGGGCGGGGAGGGCACGAGTTGCTAGATGCGAAAGGGTTGACAGCCAGGAGGTCCCCCCCGCCACTGCGGTGAACGCCGAGCTTGAACATGTTTTGGGCACTGTGGCTGAAAATGACAAGGCGCCCCGCAAGTAGTTACCCGCCATGTCTACCATCACCCCCGTTTCCCCCACCTAGCGCCACACGTGCGCACCAAACCTACACGAAGCATCACACCGTGCAGGAGTATCAGACCGTCAACGCGCGCGTTGACGACGCAGTGATGCATCGTTGAGGGTTGGCACCCTGAGTGGACGCGAGAGGTGGGCAAGGGGGAGCAGGATGATGGGATACGTGGTGGATGTAGAATATTTCAGTGCCTGGTTATTTCGGACCACGCACCTGATGTATGTTCGATTTTCATTTTGAACTTGGCCGTCTCTTTCGGCCGATCCTCGCGGAACCGTTTCAACGCCCTCCCCAGTTTATCGTACATGCGGCGGTCGAGTTCGGTCTGACGTGAGTCGTTCGCGTGTTCAGTCAGGTTGTTTTGTTGGTTTATTATGTGCCGTGCTGTTTCGATTTGATGGGTTGTTAGTCGAATTGTATGGCTGATGGCGCGCCCGACCAGACTGGGCGCGAAATGGGGAGGGCATGGTTAGCATAACTTGTGGAGATGTGGATACGAGTGGCGAGATCGATGGTCAACGAGGTCTGCCGACGGCCGTAAAAATCATTTCGCGCCAAGTCTGGTCAGTTGCCCCACCAGCTCTGGATCCCACCCGCCAGCGATCCAGTCGGTGGCATCCTCCTTAGACATGCTCATCGTCGCTGGACTCTCCTCGGACACTCGGCTGCTTGTATCTGTCGGTTTTGAGCCTGAAGGGTTGGGTGGGTGGACATCGAGATTTGAGATTCGCACCGATGCCGTAGACCAGTTGTCCCTAGACTCCCGCCCTAGACTCTTGGTCCCGAGACGCCCGCCCAAGACTCCTTGGCCCTAGACGCCCCCCTAGACTCCCTCTCCCTAGACTCCAGCCCGAGACTCCTGGCCCTAGACTCCAGACTCCTAGACTCATGCCCGAGACTCACGCATTCCCTAGACCACCCGTGCCTAGACTCCCGCCCTAGACGCCTGCCCTAGAATTCCGCCCAAGACTCCTGGCCCCTAGACCCCCGCCCTAGACTCCGTGTCCCTAGACGCCCCTGGATTCCACTCCGAGGCAGCCCCGAGATGCCATTGCAAGCGGCCCGTGGGTGGCCCAGTGGCGG